CGCTATCCTTTCCTGAAGAGGCAGGACTCGTAGAGCTTCCTTTGCTATCCCAGCCTGAGTTGGGGTAGGAGGTAACTGTGTCGTACCCTCCCTCAGCATAGCAACGGGATAGGGAGAAGGTGGAAAGATGCTCTCCGTTTCCACAGTTACAGAATTAAAATGGTTGCTCGAGGAAATGCTGGAGGACAGGCCTCTTGCTCCAAAGAAGCCATCGGTTTACCACCCTCACCTCCAAGTAAAAGGAGGACATTCAAGAGCATACTTTTGGACAAACCTCCAAACTCATCAGTGCTTATCTGAAACTCTCTTTCCCCCAAAACACAGACTTAGATAGCTAAAAATATTTTGGAGTAGATAACCTGGATCCGCCTCAACCTTTGACAGTCTATGAGGAAGCTTTTGAAGCATCGTGCTGGGGACAGAGATGAGAAAGTTTTTAAGAACAACCAGTGAACTCAATATAGGAATAGCTTCAACAAATAAAAAGGTTTGTTTTTTGAGTTGGGAGGGGAATGTTTCCTTGGTTTTATTTATTTATTTATTCATTTTTCCTGGCAAGATGCTGCCTTCTGGTTAATTGTATGCTCCTTTCTGAAACCAGAACACTAAAAGTACAACATGTTCCTCAAACTGGTTGGAATGAGCATTATACATGGTCCTCTGGAGCACTTTCATTAGCCTGAGTCTTTGCTGTCAGTACACATGACTTAATTACTCCTAAAAAGGCCATGCAAACTAGCCCTTGTAGAGACTGCAACAGTCCTTCAGAGGGCTCTGGGTTAGTGCGTGGATTGTAACTGTTGTTAAAATTCACATTCCTGGACACGTCTGTAATATATCTGTTTCTTTGCTGTCTGTGGATAGTAATGCACTAGAGCCTCCTCCAGGTTAGTTTCTGCAAATTGTTATATTCTGGAAATTAAGTGGGTTATTAAAGTGATCTTCCACATAAATCCCGAAGTATGCCAGGCACTGGATAAAATTTGAAACATATCGAGTATAACAAGTAGGTTTTTGCTCTGTGTAGCAACTTCTGCATGGTACATTGCCACGTACGTAGTTGAGTTAAGTCTGAGCAAGGCATCTTGGAGAAGAATAACAACCGCAGGAGCACTGCCTTATTGCTCTGTGCTAGCAGCTTGGCTTACAGCACCTGAGCTGCGTGAGCCAGCACACGCTGGGTGTTTCTGAACCACCTGCACCATGCTGTGCAGGTATTCCCTCTGACCTGCCTGCACAGACATCATAGTTACCTGGAGATGTTCTTGTAATTACTGCATGTGCAGAGGTAGAGGAATACTGTTGCATGCAGGCTAAGTCTCCTGCTTTTTTGGAAGTGTTAGTTCTTAAATGATTGATTTCATTCTCCTTAGGCTTAGGACTTTTGGCTCTTTTTTGATCTTTTCCCCAAAATACAGTAATCTGCAAGATATTGCTAATTTTGTATCTTCCAGGAAGGTCCCTTTCACTATGCTTGATTATAGCTAGGATTAACGTCTACTTTTTCTTTGGCAGGCTTGGAGGGATAGTCTGTAGTAAAGGTGTCTTTGATCTTTATAAGGATATATTCACTGTATGCATTGTAGTATTCACTTTGAAAGCTGCATGATCATAAAAGATGAGGTAACAGGAGGTAGCTCTGCCTAGACAATGTTGGTATTATTCTCCCCTTCATTAAATGTCAGTTTTAGAAGTAGAAGCAGTATGAAACCTTGTAATATTCTATTGATGTAATGAGCAATATTTTCAGAAGAATATTTTGTAAACTGAGAAGTATTACATGGAATTTCCTAGGAGGAGAACCAGGTAGAGCCACAATACAGAAGCAAAGTGTGCACATGGACGTATGATAATGATGTGAACTGTTTAACATTTCCATTCCTTTAGGTTTTATTTCAAACAAAGTAGAATTGCAAAACTGCCTTTTGAGTGGTGCTTCACAGGTCATTTCATCCCCTCAAACAAAGAAATAAGCCTCCATATTATCTGTGAGAGCCTTCTGTTATAGCAGTCCTGAACTCTCTGATACTTCATTGATGTAACTTTGCAGTACTTTGAACTGTACAGAAGACATCATTGGTTTAAGATGTGAAAATAGCACTGCTTTAGTTGGCATTCAGCAAACATTCTTCTCCAGCAGGGAATATGACAAAATCATGGGATTTGGAGAATAAGTCTTGCACTCATCACTGGAAGTAATGGAACATTGCACTGCTGCATTAATTTGCCTCTTTGGTATCTATATATTATAAAAAATGATGCATGTTTTAGATTGCCTGTCTACAATACAAGTGGAAAGTGAAAGATTTACAAATTACATTTCTATTCACATATACAAGGCCAGTGAGACTGCACAACAACTAGTGTATTCAGCTTACTGCAAACATCATCTTTGCCTTATAACATGTTTCCTGAGGCTAAAGGGCTTTAGAAGGATGATGTTATGTGCTTTGGATTAGTCAGAAGCCTCGGTCATCTGAAAGGTCATATATACAAGAGAAAAACTGTTTTTTTTTAATGATCTATATTTTGGCCTTTGTGGACAGCTCTGAAGAAAAATCTATAGAAGTCATAGTGAAAATCTGGGTAATAGGGGAAAAAAAAAAAGCAGTTAGCCTATTAAATTATTTGAATCTTATCTCCTACTGATTAAAGATTGGGTGGAGATATATTTGACTCCTTTTTCACAGTCAAACAGTTGTATTTTTGCACTACAGAGTCATTTGCACACTATGAGCCTCTAGAATCATTAGCGAGAACAAAAACTCTTGATTCCTAAAAAAAATGCTTAGAAGATGAGACACAAGCAAACCAGATTAGAAATCTAAGAATGATACAACTGGCTTTGGCAATGAGAAACGTTTCATTGCAGAGGTTCGCAATTTATAGAATGAAAATTGCAACTCACTTCATTAAAAGGAAGGATTTTACATGGTTAAGCAGAGAAACTCAAGTAATATCCATGCATCACACACTGTAAAATAAGGCTGAATGAATCCTCTTTGCAGTGATAAGATGGTATTTCTTCAAGTTATATTTCTTCAGGATTTAAGTTTTGCAGAAAATGCAGGAGTATAATTAATTCCTTCAGTGAAAGCTAATATTTCTAAAATATATTTTGCTTTTGAAACAACTTCAGTTAAAAGCTGGCATAAGCTGTACCAGCTGTACCTGAACTCATAGCTGATCTGAACTGAGATCTTTCAGATTTCTGACGGATTGTCACGCTGTTACGTTCAGCTTACTACTATTTGCAAAGTTGCTATGGTGACAACCGTAGCTCTGGTTAAAAAATTAGAATGATCCTATTTTGTTTAACTACAAATTCCTGCATGGCTTGAAGAGTACACTTCCACCAACATGTATACCTGCTGCCCTCTTTTCTGAGCAATTTTATCTTTAGTAAAAATACTAGCATAATGGGAACTCTAACCTCTGCTTTGGTCATAGTACCTTACAACAGTCTGTTCTATAGACTCTATGTTTTAAATTAGATATAGGTTTTACTATAGTTTTAAAATAGCTTTAGAATAACAAATTGTCTTGAAGAAAAGATCAGAGTAGACCCAAGGGAAGAATCTCCAGTACAAAATGCCTGGGGCTTGCTTCAAATTCTTTTTGGTCATTCTGGTGAAGCAAAGCAGCCCTGAAGTCAGTTTGACCATGCCTTTTAATATCCATCTGATCTGCCCTGCAGACACATGCCGTGCAGGTTAAGGCAAGCTTCAGCACGGTGATTAATTTATGCCGAGGGGGCCTAAGTCTGACTTTGGGGTACAAAGATTGCCTGTAGAAGTTTTTGCCCACAGACCTACCCAGACCAAAAAACCTAGACAATAGATTTCGGAAGCTTTTGGGGAAGTTCTCATCTTCTCTCAAAAAGACCCAGGGCTCCAGTAATGCAGCAAGATTCCTTTCCAGTGAACCTTGTCATAAATGTCTAGCTAACCTTGTCCAAGGAGGGAGAGAGTTGCCCTTCACTGACCTCTGGAAGAATCTCTTTCTCTCCCATTGATTCTATAGGGTGGGAATTGATATTAACATCCTACCAAGCACTTAAATCCTGATTTAAGCCTAAAACCAGGCACAATGACAAAAATCTGTGCTAGATAAAGAATATTTTGGTTACCAGAGATTAAATTCACATTGAAATGCAGGTGCTGTGCTCGGCTGAAAGGTGATGCCAGCAGCATCACTCTGCAGAGCGCCTGGAGATAGGACATGGAGTCATCCTTCCTAAAAGCAGGTCCAGGTATCAGCAGAGTCATGCCATTCCACTGCTGAAGATGCTAAGAGTGTGCTCCTAAGTTTCCCATGAGCTGTGTCTCATTCAGACTGCAGAGAGAACTTGGTAGGATGAGCTGTTTCACTCACAGCCCTACAAGTCCCCAAAGTGTTTCAAGACCTGGGATGCTCCTTTCCAGCCATAGTCAAGATTAGGTCTTGAATAAAAGGTAAATTTAAGTTCAAACTCAGCCCCAATCATCGCTTACAGTAAAATGTAAATATTGCTGTCATCCTAGTAGATAAAAGAGAGTGGAACATGACAGAGAGAAACAGAGGGAAAAAAAGAGCGGCTTTGAAGTTCTGCTGATAAATTTAGATTCTAATTTTAAAAGGTGAAAGGTAAGATATGGGTAAGCTGTTGATTTCAAAGTCATGGTTTTAGATGAGAAAGTTTGCTTTAAAATATTTTTTCTTTAATGTATGGAAGAAGGTATCGCAGCTTCTTTCTAAAAATATTGGAAGAAATGCTGATGCAGGAGAAAACTTGGAAAGACTATCTTGTCTTAATAAGCAAAAGTAAAGCCTGTGTTGATATTATTCCTATAATAATAATTCCTGACAGGTAATCCTTAGTTTATTTGAAACAGAATTGTGTAAGCCTGGATGTCAGAATCAGTATTGTCTTTGTTTGTCTTGTTACAGCTCTGTTTGAAATTGATTTAAAGGAAATTTGCTTTGCTCTGACTTCTCTCTCTGTCTATCTCTCTTTTAAGGTCAACTCAAATCAAAACATACTCTTGGGATAACGCCCAGGTTATTTTGGTTGGTAACAAATGCGACATGGAGGATGAACGAGTAATCGTCACTGAGAGGGGCAAGCATTTAGCAGAGCAACTTGGTAAGAAAATCAATGGCAAAAGCTTTATGATTTTTGGTAGCAGTGCATAGCATAATTGCTACAATATTTGTAATGAAACGTTCACGATACAGTCATTGTAGGGAAATGCATCCATATTACATCTCTATTTTGTTTCTGCAGGCTGAGGTCTAAACTGCCCTTACTGGTATCACTTAAACTATAATATCATTAGAATGGACATGTGTCCAGGGGATGACCTTATGCAGAACATGATATGCCATCTAAAAGTGCCCACAAAACCGGTGCTGGCTCAGGAGCTGCTTACGCTAAGGACATCTCTCATACAGCCTCCTTTATCCTCTTCCTCAGATAGAAAGTACATTATGGACTTTGTCATAAACAAAAAAAAGATTGTGCATATGTATGCAGATATAAATCATATATTTATGTAGGCATAACATAGATATGTTGTAGCCAGGGAAAAGTAAGAAGGCAGGGAATAAATAAATATGAAAAAGTGACACTAAGATTTAGCATGTCCAAAACTGGAAAATCAGGAGTTCTTGTCTTCCTTGTAAGCTTTGACTGTTTCTTCTTATTCAAAATCTGGGGAAAAGCTTTAGAAATGGGAGAATAAAATACCAATTATGGAGGCTTCAGTCTATCTTGTCTTTTTGAACTGATACTTTAATTTTGAGGGGAAAACCATACTTGTATTAACTTGCATCGACTGCAATTTATCTCTGTCAAAAATCAAACAGAACCAGCAGAATCTAGTTTGCCTGGGGAAAAGTGTTTTAGTTACTGTTTTTTCATCATGTAATCAGAACCAAAATAGAATTATTTTTAATACAGTGAGATAATTCCTCCTAAGACTCCCATCTGTGCTGCTTTGCAAAACACAAAAAAAAAGAAGGAGAGAGGAGACATGAGGACAGAGCAGGGTAGGGACAGGTATATGACCATAAATTAGTTCTGGAAAAGTAACAGGGAAAACTTGACAGGTTATATCCAGACAAATTACCAACACATATAAATAACTCAATTTTTAAAACTACTTGTAATAAAAACAAAATGGTTGTTGCATCTAATTTAACAAAGTATACTTTTCTTTGCAGAAATATGTATTATCTGTTTAAATACTATAATTTATTCTTCCTGGTGTTAGCACTTCTAATATTTATTCATTTTAAAATGAGTTGGGAAGATGTATCAAAGGAAAATAAGATCAAAAATTTGTTGTAACTGTATATTCTGTTCCCAAATTTTAATGATGCACTAAAATGTCTGCCAATTCATAAGAAGTCTTCAAAGTAAATTTTGAAGAATAGCTTTTAAATTAACATAACTAATCTGAGTTTCTAATTCCCAAGCTGTTTTCCTATAGAAAGGTTAATGCAGTGAGTTGGCAAGCAGTCCCCGAGGTCATGAATTCAGCTAGATGAGAAGAAACTTTGGATGTTATACAGTCAAGAATCCTCAGCTCTAATAACCAATGATAGCAAAAAAAGGGTAATGAGAGGCATATTAAAATTTATGTTTCTGTATTTAAAATAAATTCTAACTCCTGGGTTAGAATAGAACTGAATCTCTATGGAAGTAGATTATCCTGTATTCCTATCTTTACCTGCTTTGGGGGTTTCCTTTCTCTGATATATCTTCCATGGCCCTCTCAAGGACAGTATCCTATCCTGGATGTATTCTGGCTCTGATCCATTTGCTGTATTAAGAGCACACAGACATAGACTCATAGAATCCTTAAGGTTGGAAGGGACCTCTAGAGCTCGTCTAGTCCAATCCCCCTGCGCATGTGTGTACAGCTTTTTGTAAGGCTACAAAGATTTCTTAAATCTGCTCAGAGATTACAGGAGATCATGGCAGGAAAAAAAAACCAGAATAAATTTCCCTGAATTTTAGTAAATTCTCAGACCATGTGGGTCAGTGTGAAGGGCAAATTTGGGATGGTCTTTCCTTTCTCTGCAAGGGAGTTGATTAAAATCTCTTGCAGCCACCTTTTAAAAATGATAATACAGATTTTTGTGTCCAGCAAGACCTTTTAAGGTTATGTGGGCCCTTTGAATGGTACAGTGTGTGATGTTGATTACAGGCAGAGTTACAAGCAAGCACAATGCATGCGAGTGCTGTACAAGGAACACATTGTGAAACATTGTGTTCTTAAATGATGTTTTATTTGAACCCTGGTTTATTTGAAGTCACCTAGAAAATGAATATGTACATTTTAGACTTTGTTTTCAAAAGGTCAGAAAGAACACTGAGCAATTAGCCCTCTGGAAAACACTGGTGTCTTGTTGAGAACTGAGCTGTCTGAAAATGTGGGTTCCTTTGTGAGTTTTGAGGCCTTTGAAAACTGTGGACTTAATTTTTATCAGGGAGAAGTATTCAATTTTTTTTCTGTTACTATTATTATTACTGTTAATATGTTGTCCAGGATAACCTCAAAAATGTGGTTTAGATCAATTGATAGTAGGTCTGGTTACTTGCTGAAGCTTGTCTAAATTAGTCAAGTGTCACTTCTTGTCAGCACTTGAAAAAAAAAGAGAAAAGAAACTCTTAAGAAAACTAGATTTCTAAAAATGGATTGACAGAAATGTTCTGATCAGATCCAAGCTTGAGCATATAGCTACAGAATGTTTATGAAGACAGAACTTGTCTCATGTTCATTTAACATTTTGTAAAGCTTGTAGCTGCTGTCATAGAGCAGGACAGTGGCCTTATCTACAGTTCTGGCCACAGGCAAATGTCTTGGGAAGGGTGTTGGAGGGTTGCTTCCCAGACTGCAACAAATTGTGTTCAGGGGTCTCATAAGCCAAAGGTAGTGTCTTTGTACTCAATAACCGTTTTGTTTTGTTTTCCTATGGATTTGTCCATAGATTTCTTTGAAATCGTCCACTACAGACTTACCATATGCACAGTTTCTCTGAGTTTTCTGCCTTTACTTTGAATGTACTACCAGCTGGTTTCATTTAATGATTCTCAGTTTTTATAATCTAAGAAATACTGAACAATTGTTATCTGTTACCTGCTGTAGATTTTAGATACCTCTGCCACACCCCTTCTTCTTCTCCAGACTGAAAGTTCGCAGGCTATTTAATTGTTTAGGATACAAATGCCACCTAATATCTTAGACATTCGTTGACTCACTATTCAGTAACTTTTTAAAATAGTACATTCTTTTGGAGAAATTAGTTCATGATTATTTAACATTTTAGCACCATAGAAAGTTACCTGAGAATGAGAGGAAAACAGCCGAGTGATGTAACTTTACCTCAAGGAGATACCAAAAAACCATAGAAATGTGGCAAATCAGCCATTAGAGGGAACCAATTAATGTAATGTCAATATTGATGTAGGGACCACAGTCACCATATTTAAAGAAATTGATTCACCAATCACTACAAAGTATGATGGGGGACATAATTTATATGCCATTCTGTCAGTTCATAAATTTTTGCTTTGAGATCTACAAATATTTGTGGCTTACTGAAAAATAGCACAGCACCAACGCAGTCAGCACTTATGTGCTCTAAAGCATTTTAGTAAAAAAGGTTCGGAATTTCTTGCAAGTAAAAGTGCATGTTTACTTATCCGCCTACATTACTCACAGAGTTGCCAGCCGACCTCAAAGCTTCATATGTTCATAAAAATTTTGTCACTTGTCAGAGCAAATATAAAAAGAATGACTCACAGATGGCATGAATTTCATGGTTCCTTTCATCTCTGGTCTGTATGATATATTGTGATCTATATTCTGGCACAGGCTTAGCAGCCAGAGCTGTGGGCACAGACTTTGAATAGACAGTGAGGAACTGCACATGCACACGGGCAGTTGCCTAGGTAATTGGATACACATTTTCCCAATCTATTTGTGCCATTTTGCTAATATGATGCCCGTGAATTATGAGCATTTCCATTTTTGCCTTTGGTTCTTCGTGTGCTTCTTTACCACTCACATTTTCTATGCATATGCAACAAATAATGCAAATATTTATTAGTTTAACTGCAAGTTCTCCCATTGCAAGGACCATTAAAACTTTAAGGCCCAGGTGTCCCACGTCACTGTCGAAGCACAGCCCTGCTGCAGGCCAAAGCATATTTGTGCTCGTGATGCCTCCGTTATTAGGGAGGATACTGCATAATCTGCCCCAAAAGTCCTGTCATCTTTTCTATAAGATCCTATTTGCCCTGACCTTCAGAATGCCTCCACAGCTGTCACTCAGAAAGGCGGTCACTTCATCCCTGAATTTTTAACACACACATCATTGTGCGTGGGTTTTGTTTCAAGAGAGGTTTCTTCTCCTCCCCCTCTTCTCTCTTCTCACTTCCTTTGGACATGAGAATCTTTATTTTCTTCTTTATCTTTCTTTTCTTCTCTTCATTCTCAGTGCTTTGAAAAACAGCCCTATCAAAAACAGGAAGAAAATTTCTCACTTCAGCCAGCTTTGCATATTTTATATTCATTTTATTATTGGCTCAAGCATGCACATAACAACAGTGAGGACATGCCAGGGAGAGACAAGAGTCAGCAGTGATTAGGTTTTGTTAAATTAAATCTATTTAGCATGCCAGTTAGTTTGAAATCAGAGTGTTTTTCAGTGCCATATGCTTATACAGTGTGTAATTCAGCACCCATTTGCTTTTGTGTGATCTGACCAAGCCTACAAGATTAGACCTGCTGATAAAATTGATCAGGAAAATGCCTGGCTAGTTTCTGAATCCTACCAAAGCTTGGATATAAGACAGTAACTCTGCAGTGTAAAGTAGGGGTGAACATTCACTTTTCCATAGGTCCTTGGGGGTGATGAACACTGGGGGATATTAGGCTTATTAGGAGTTTAAGAAGCAAACAGAGAGACATCTTTTGGGCTGAAATTTTGACATCTAAATCTGGAATTGAGTGGGATTTGCCACCCTGGCACACAGCTCGCCAGAACACCACGTTCTGCATTGCCTCCGTTGGCTGGAGGCCTCCGTGCGGAAAGCAGGGAGCAGCGGCTCGGGGAACACAGACATACGGCTGCACTCAACCTTGCATTACAAGTGAAAATAATTGGGTTGTGCAGGAACAGGCCTTTTTCGTATTTCCACCCCTTGCCATGTATTAGTTCTTTTTAAAAGGCAAAATGTTGCTGCCAGAGGAAGGAGCCAGGCTGACAGCACTGGCAAACACAAAGTCTTTGCTTTAGACATAACAGACACGGAGCATTGGCAGAGCCATTAAAAGCTCAAAAGCACCTGTCCACAGGATGCTTTTTTGTGGAGGAGAATTGCCCTTTACTTCCGTGGACTCTGAGTGGCGTTACAGGAAAGTTACTTAATGACAAAGCCAAGCAAGCTATTTACTCACCAAATGTCTCCTGTAAATAAACAGGAAAAAATTCTTTGCTGCAGATATAATTTATTCTCCAAGTGCCCTATTTCATAAAGTATCTGGAAGCCACAATCCAAGTCAGTACAACTGGAATTTATATGGAAAACTTTTGTCCTGAAAGACTGAGAAAAGGTGCTTACTAGGCTGTAAATTACTACACAGTAATTGCCCTTCAAATCTGTATGCTCTGTCATAACTGGGAGTCTCCCATTAGCTTTTCTCTTCCAATTTGGTCATCCTAAGGGCAGGATGAATATCCTGGTATTTCTATTAATGGTAACTATATTAGCTCTATCTAGAATGATGCTAAAGCACTGCTCTCTGCTGAGATGTAGCAGCAAAGTTCTGCCTTTTAGACAGCTGGGGTGTAATGTTCTTTTCATACTTCTCTCAGCACTGTCCAGCACTTGTCCTTTTCTGGACAGCCTAGTTCCCACTCAGCCAGCCTGGAAGCAGAGCACACTCACTCTGGCCAGATCATGTAGCAAGAGCAGGAGGTCCTCTGAGGAAGAGCAGTGGTCACCAGCTCTTCCCTAGTTCCAGTCTAGTTCTCTAGCAAAGAAGGCCTTTGCAGTCCTCCCATATTTCCCTGTGTCCATCTCTCTCTTGGTGAGAACATTTGTGGAGTCAGCATAAATGCAAGAATGAAGGAAGGCAGAAATTCTGGCTGCTTATTTGCTTCAGAGTGGCTGTCTAAACTGCTTTTTGCTTGTGAGAAGAAGCAATTCCCAAGTGCTTCTTCTGAAGCAACAGAGAAACTAAAGTAGTATTCAGATCAGTTCCGTAAATGTGGGCTATCTTGTGCTCTGGAACTTTAATCTGTATCTCCCATTGGCTCAAAAGCCTTGGCCATTTCTCCCTTTCATCTCTGTTCTGCGTTACCCACACACGTGCATCTCGGGCTTCATCCTGTCTTTGCAGGAGGCTGCTCTGCTCCATCTCAGCCACCTCTACAGTACAGGTCATGGTGGGAACATGGCTTGAGCTCTGCTGTCAGGATAACTGCAAGGGATTCACCTTGCTTCAGTCTCATACATGGAAAATCTTCCTCTTCGTTAACAGCAAGCACTGGGAAATAAATTGAAAGAAGCATTAAAAGGCATGGACCTGAGGCCCTCATTCACAGGCATTTTGGAAGCACATGGTCCTAATGTGCTTCCATAATAAAATATTTGCCAGATGAGTCAGGAGGAGCGAGGAGGTCACTGGCAAAAAAGCTCTGCAAAACATTCATAATGAAGTGCAAAACAACCAGAATTCAGGAGTTTGTACATCTTTTTGCTTTCTACTGCTTAGTCCAGACACACTCTTCTAGGAAATACAGCAACGCTCTCTGTGAGTCTGTTGCACTGACATTCACAGAAAGAGCTGTTGATACTGATTTTTTTAAAACTGCACAAAACATCTCTTAACTGTCTTAGCTATGGACACAAGGCTATCCTGAATGACCATTTCTGCATCTACAGGACTTACTTCTACTGACCAGTTACAGGTCTCATAGATATATGTGTATATATATATATATATATATGCATTTATATATATATACATGTATATATGTATATACAGGTCATATATATGACCATTTACAGGTCATATATTTGAGTATAGTTCAGTCCACCCTGCAGCAGGAATTGTGCAAGGCAGCATGGAGTAAAATGCTAGGGAGTGCAAATTTGCCAGCGAGGATATTAATCAATGCATTTAAGCATATAAATAGTGCCTATCAGCTGACCTGCAGAGGAGGAGCTGCCTGGGAAAATCTTCAGGACAGAAGAAATCCCTCCTGGAGCTCTGCTGTAAGAGCTATTCAAATACTTTCCTGGGGGAGCAGCTGGGGGGTTCTCTCAGTTATCTTCTTTGAGGGGTCCCCTTTTTGGCCCTCGACACTTCTGCTTTGCAGGCCTGCTTAATCCTCCTCTTCCTCATTCTCTCTCTATTGCCCTAAGCAGTGAAGGAGCGGTGCTTATATGTATAAAGCACTTTATATATATATATAAAGTGCAGCCTTTCTGCAGCATCATAAGTATATTCATACACTAAGATCTGCCTTTGCTTGGAAGATGTTGTAGCTGTTAGGGAAGGTAATAGTTACCAGAGAAATATCCTTGCTGTGTTAGGCAAATTTCAGGTTAGTGGGTCTTCCCTTTGATTTCATGCTTGGCTTTCACCTCTACTGATTTGAGAAGGAAAAGAGCTCAAATGTGGAATGAGAACAAGGAATTAGTGCTTTTTGTTACTGATGGGGTTGTGGGCAGTGGCATTACTGGATTATGGTCAGGCTAGAAAGCCATTATCTAGACAATAGTGATATTGTGTTACAGTCTTGACTGGTTTGCCTTGTAAGTATGGAACAATGTTCCCAGCAGTGAAGGGAGTGACTCCCGATTTTATGCTGTGTAACTGAAGTTATATCTGCTGTGCAATCCAAATGTCCTGGTTTCAGCTGACACGAGCATACAGAGCTCCCCACTACCTTCCCAGCTGGGTCAGGGCAGCCTGACTGCCACAGCCCACCCTCTTCCAAAGCCTCAATTAGATGATGACCCATGGTCGCCCTTTTGGACTGCAGTGTAGGCATGTACTTTGGAGTGGCTGCTCGCTTCCAGACTCTGCTGAGCAGATGCCAGGAGCTATGGGAAGCTTTGTCTGCAGAGCCCATCATGAGCATGGACAAGGCAGAGGCTCCCCCTCCCACCCACATGCTCTCTGGCACATCTGAATGGTCATCTCTGGCATGAATCTCCAGGGGAGCCCTGAAAACCACTGAGGTTCCACCTTCCTTCCACCTCTTCCTTCTATTTTCAAATGGCTAAGAGAATATATAAATCCTTCTAAACTACAAAAAAAAAAAAAAAATAAAAAATTTGAAATACCGATTTAAACCATTGCCCAATATATGATTTCTGTATAATATAGCCTTTATTATGCATGTTCTTCCTGCTTTCCAGACTCATGCAGAAAGGAGAAGTTTTCAAGCTTGGAGGGTTAACCTCACATCAACATTAATGGAAGTTGCATGAATAAATCCGTTTACAATGTTTGTGTTTCTAAGGGTTTATTATCTAAACCAACCACAAACACTAACTTTGGGTTGCAGTTAGTTCCTATGCTATTAAACAATTTAGCAGTTCGTGGCACTTCAGCACAAGGCACTTTGTGTAAATTAAAAATATTAAGGATATTTAGAACAGAGAAGAAAAGTTTTTGCACTGGTTATTAGCACACACTGGGATATCATGCCAAGCTAAATATAATTATGTACTATAATCTACACTAATATTCAAACATGCAAAAGCTATTCATTAAGATTGCACATTGGATTAAATGTGCATATTATATCTTATTTAGAGGGTATACTGAACGCATGGTATTAGTGTTATCTAAGTAGTTGCATTTAATTTTTAAATGGCCTTCTGAAATAAAAATTAGCCCATTTGCTCGAAAGCACACACCATATGCCAAAAAAAAAAAAAAAAGAAAAAAGAAAAAACCCACCTGTTTTATCTCTTTTTCACCCTTACTGTCAAGAGTTTAAAGTGACTGATATTTTCTGACTGTGATTCTCCTCCTAACAAACTACCATGGTAGTTGTATGTTGTTACATGGCACTAATCAGCAAGGATCAAAATAGTTCTGCGGATGCTCAGACCCTTCTGTAAGATTACCAGTGGATTAGGTGTTTTGTAAACCTTAATATTGAACCCTTAGGCACTAGAAATACGTAGTTATTGTAGTCTTAAATTGCCAAGGAACCCTCAGGTGAGAGCAATGTGGTAACAGTGGGATAAGGCGGAGCACCGGAGGAAAGACTTACAAAACAAATAAGCAGAAGACAGAGGAGGTGCAGAAGCAGCAGTAGGAGGGGAAGCTCCAGTGCAGGCAGAAAGCAGAGGAATTGCAAGCTGCCTGGCCCCTGCATGCTCTAATTTTTCCCTTTCCAATAGTACTCAGATGAAAAAAATCCCTCTATATACATAAATTAAGGAGGAAAGAATATGTATGTTTGCTAATTTATTTATGTGCTGTTTTGGCTTGGAGGTGTGTGCCTTTGTCTCAACAGATTTTCCTCTGTTCTGCATAGAGCTCACACAATTCTTCCCTTGCCTTGCTTGCTTCTCTCACCTGGTTGTTTCCAGGTGCAATTTTCTGTTTTGGCACCTGGTTAATGACACCATGGAAATAGCTGTCTGCAGTGGAATAATGCTTAGCAGGACCTAATAGAAATGGAAAACAGGGAATTGTTCTTTCACAGTGGCCAGACATATAGGATATTTCAAACAGAGCAGCCCTCTCAAACTAATGTCAATTTTGTTATGAAACCATTTTAACAGTAGAATACATTTTGGGGCCAATCATGATTTTAGCTGGGAGCAAATCACTCTAATGTAGTTTCTCTGATTGTTTTGCAAACGTAACTGCTCTTGCAATACCGTGTGTGCTCTTCTATGTTCACTTTGTGCCTCTCTCTCTCCATTCTCTCATCCTCAGTAGAGGTTTGTGTGTTTATTGGAGAGACTGGGATAAGTTGGAATAAGCTGCAGATTGGAATACTTAGAATAAGTATTGGAATAAACAACCAGCATGTTGTTTATTTTATTAGGTTTTGAATTTTTTGAAACAAGTGCCAAGGACAACATTAACGTCAAGCAGACGTTTGAGCGACTCGTGGATATCATCTGTGACAAGATGTCGGAGAGCCTGGAGACGGATCCCGCGATTGCCGCCAGCAAGCAGAGCACGCGGCTAAAGGACACCCCCCCTCCACAGCAACCCAACTGTGGCTGTTAATGCAGCCACCAACAAAGGCAGCTCCAGGCTGTTCTGTTGCCAACAGAGTATTTATGAATGGTCTATATGCCTTTATTTATATCGTCTGATTAATTTATTTGGGAGAAAAGTCTTTTATTTTACATCAGCAGCTGGTCAAGTATGTATATAGAGATGCTATTATTAGTTTGTGAGGACGATCCTCTTTTAGCATCTGTTTTTTGCATGCAAGATGGCTATTAGTTTCTCTTTTCTTTTTATTGTTTTACATTGTACTTGCTTCAGCTGGTGCCATGTCCTCAGACCACATTTGCCTAGAATTGATTCCTGCTTCATCAGTTTCAAATTATATGCTTGAATCCTTGGGGTAGTGGCCAAGGTGTTTCAGAATAAGCTTCCTGAAGCCACTTATAATTTCTCCTTACTGAAAAATCAATTTAGAAATATTACTCTAGCGAGCTAATCGCTCATTCCGTCCAGATCATTTGTACAAGGGACATTTCCTGGAGCATAATGCCTTGGCAAACCTGGGCTCACTTAATATACGCACCATGGCTGCTTGGTAATTGCAGGGGGTAGGAAGGACAAACCTCCAGCCTTCCTGGACCCAAAGCCTCTGGATTTACAGCAAAGAACACCCCTGCAAGTTCCCAGCTAAGTAAGGGTTTTCATTCCTCAGAGTACCGGTGTCCAGATCCTCAGAGATAGTAGATATTTCATCCTGTACTATATTTTCATCTCCTTGAGAACTGCATGCCTAATATCTTTCTGAAAACGGACTTAATTTCTGAATCCTTCATCAGAGAGAACCTGCCAATACCTGCCCCAATAGTGGAGGGCTGAATAGCTCTTTTCAAGTCTACCTGCATAAGGTAATAAACTTCTGCTGTCACTGCTGACAAAGCCAGATATATCATGCTCATGGCCAAAAACTTTCTTGTCATGTTCCTGCAAATCTGCATATTTAAGCTTTTAGCAATTTCATCTTCCACTCAGTCACTGAGCACCATTGCTACGCTACAAAGGCCCCAGGTTTCATCTCAGCCCCATGATAGAGATGCTGCTGGTGTGAGCTGGAATTTGACCTCATTTTGACTTTGCTGAGGATATCTGTTTTTTTGACAAGACAATCAGAAATTCACAAGATATTTAAAAGTTTTAGGAGTAATAAATAGTTGTCAACATTTATGGAGTTGAACTGAATAAATCCATAAAATCAGAAAAAGGTTGTGAAGACAAATGTTAAAAAATAGTCATATGTCACAATGCTAAACAGTTCTCACTCTAATAATTAGCAGCAGTTTCTTACATCTTTGCCCTGTGTTATACTGCATTATTTGGGTCACAGTGACATTTTTTAACTAAATGGTATAATTAAGAAAGCATTAACTGTGTTCTTTCTATTAGACTGGCTTTAGGACTAGGTTGACATTTCTCAACACCAAAAAATGTCTGCAGTGCCAAAATGTGAAAGGAAGACAGGTTAAATGGCTTGAATAGGTTGAAAAGTTGGATTTTGCAGACATGGCAATGCTGGGATTTTTGCTATAGATTTTAGTCAGATTTAGACAAGAAGAATCACTTCTAGATAATGATAGCTCAGTACTATCCTTTCAGTTCTCAGCTGGAACCTGGCTATTGTAGGGAAAACCCAGAACCTTCTTTTTGGAAGCAATTTATTGTCATTTCCCCAAACATTCTGAAACTTGAGTATGAGTGTGAGTTCTGGGAGAACAGCAGGACCGGGATTTTCAATTCTACTTTAAATTATTTGAATTATATCTTGGCCTAATTCTGTTCTTGCTGACTTCTGTGATAGAACAGCAATTTTCTTAATTGAAAACAGGGTTAGCCTGATACTGAGCCCTTTCAGAAGTCTCATCCCAACCTGATCAAGCGCAGATTTAACCATGCAGTCACTCATATCTCATAGCCACTGCCTCTAAGCTAGTCACTGGAGAAGACAGAATTAGGATTTGTTGGAATACCTGATCTAAACACAGTTGTAGCACAGTTCTGTCAAAAGCAAGGTTCAAGCTAGCAAAAGACTTTTTGTAGTGATACAAACAGCCTGGATCATTAAATTGACTATAATAAATTCAAAACTATTTTCTGCCTCATCACAATTCCTGGTGTAAAAGCACTCCCATGATAAAACCCAGGATGCTTTGGCTTTGCACCCATTTGCTGTCCCTTTCAGCACAGATTTAGGACTGAATACCATGGGAGGCAGCCACAGGGAGCCACTTCAGCTGAGGTTTGGTCTGGGACAGCAGGTGAGACACAGAGCACGGCAAGTTTCTGAGGGACTAGACACCTCCCGGCAGAGGGTCTGACTCCATAGTGCCAGCTGAACTCATCCCGCACAACCCATTTTCCGAGGTGCCATCTAGGCTGATAAATGCTGTTGGTGGCAGGCTGCTGTGGTGCATGGCTAGTACACCAGCCTTGTCCTGCTGGGACAGTGCCCTGCTTGCTGCATGAGCTGCCTGGCGCAGAAGACATTCCCGGGAATAGCTGGGAGCTGCCCCATGAGCTGCAAGCCCTGCGGAGCAGAGCCTGCACGTGCATGTTGGCTGTGCCGATGGGAGCTCATGTGCACGAGCAGCTGCTCCTTACAGCCCGAGTAACATGTTTCTCCCTCGGTTCTTTGTTCTTGGTTTGATTTACTTCGACCTGTTTGTTGGTGTTTGAAATACCTACGAGCTAGCCTGATCTTCTGTCAAAATATATTCTCTGAACCGCTGTGTACGTGACTGTTACCTGGGACTGTTTGTTCCTTTGTGCTTATCCTGACTGTACGCATAGAGAAACTACCTGAGCAACTGCATCTATGTGGCCTTTCCAGAGCATCGGTTTGAAAAATTAGGTTTTCTTCCCAGTCTCCTTAGCTCTGTATATCCAGCCGTACTACCTGCACCTTCTTTATTTTAGGAATGAAGTGCTATTTTATGGTGCACAAAGTCTGCTGGAGTTTGATCCTAACTTTGAGACTGCTTTGACTTCAGTTGTCTTTTTTTAAGGGAAAAAATGATGGTACAAATCCCGTCTCTGATGAGGACGGCTTTGCTTCTTCAATAGCAGACAAGTGGTGCTGTACTTGCAATTGAAAAGAGAACCCAAAACTTCAAAAGTCAGTCTCCCCTGAAACTACTCTTTATTGCATTCACTTGTGAGAGACAAGTCCGTAACTGGCATTTTCAAGGGCATTGACTAAATAGATAACTGTTCTGCTGTTAGGACAGATTCCCCCTTGGCTTGTTTCACATGCAGACATACAGCATGCAAGTTCCTCTTCAGCAGGACTCGTTCAGATTTTGTGACATAAAACTGCAAGGATGAAAATCCTCACAGGGGTTAAAGCAAAATACCTTCACTTGTGCCAACGGAGGGTGTGGGTTTTCTTAATTTACACCATTTAATCTGTACACAGTCCCTTCAGTATGGTTTGACTCCAAATTCTCCAAAGCTCTTCATCTGTAAGGTCTCAATTCAAGACGCAACTCAGTTTCCATTATTTTTTTGGTCAGTTTTCTTTATCAAATGGTTATTTAAAAAATATTTTTTCTTTTTTTTAATCTGTATTTATACATGGATGCTAACTTAAACAGCAGTTGCAACTGCGCATGCATAGTATGCATATAGAGCAGTACGTTTTTGACACTCATTCAGTTCCCACCGCTACTTGCTCATGCTCAGTGAAGCCTTCCCTAAGTGCCAGAGTGGAATTTACCCAGAAAGTCTCACTAGCACCAGAGATCCGCTGGCTTGAATTTGCAGACTGTAGGATTATTATCATCCATAGTTGAAGCAGGTGTAAATGGCCTGTCATTTATAGCCCAAGGTACCTGGCATTTGATTTGGGGGAAGGAGTGGGAAGGGGAGAAAAGCATAAATCCTAATCTTCCCATCGCTTCAGGGTCATGCGTAACATGCAGAAATAGAAGCTAGGGATTGTTTACTACTTTTGGTGATAAATTTCCTTGAGTAATCCTGACATGTACCTGCAACTGGTGTTAAATGAAATCTGTTTGTGTTGTAATTCTCATTTAATATTTTGTCAATAATGTCAGATATGTCGTGCTTCAGTCAGACTGTCAGAATGCGTAACATATACTAGTGTTTGTGGAACTGAAATGTCTTAAATGTTGCATGAAACTGTGTTATAAAAATAGATATGTTTTCTATTTTTTGAATACCTCAAAACTGAGGGATCATGGGCCAATAAGTGCAATATTTAATGACTTACTCAGTGTATATAAACTTGTGTGAAAGGGAGAAGTGTCATGTATGTGTGATAAGCTGTTGATGATGCCTGTGTGGCTCAAAGGTTTTCTAGTATCTGTATGTGTTGTAGTAAAATTTATATAGTAAATGCTTTACCAGTGTAGTGTAAGAATATTCTTAAGTCATTTAACGTATTTTTCATATGTGAAACAATAGTAAAAGATATCTGTATGTTTACTGCAAGTGCATGTCAATTTTACTTTTAGAATCGTGAGTGTCCTTTTCAAAAATGATAATGTTATATGGACAGTAGTGGGGCAATGCTTTCAATCAGAAGATTAGCCTTTTATCCTATCTGCATAGATTTTTAAAGCATGTTCTCTAGAAGCATTGAAGGACCCCTCTTGGCACTCAGCACTTACAGAGAGTAGTTTATTCCTGAAAGAATTAGTGATATGCTCTGTCTGCCTGTAATGCATAATATCATGTGAACATGTTTTTTCCTTAATCAGAGAGAGTTAATACATAGTACTTACCTGAAATACTAAACACAAGCCTCCAGTACTCTTTTGGATGACATGGCAAATTCAGCGGATGCCTCAAGTTCACATTTGTAGGAACAGTTTGCAGGTCACAGTCAAAATGGTCCAGCACCGTGGAGGGACACCTTAATCAATCTCCTCTGTCCATTAAGTTTCTTAACCCTCTTTAGATCCTAAAGGCAAAAACCACATTCCTAAAAATACGGACCTAGCTCTTCACTCGCCTGTTACCAGCTCTCACGGTGGAGTAACTCCACCATTAGCAGCAAAGTTGCAGTGCAAACGGGAACAAAATACAGCCCAGAACTGAAGTGTGAAATGAAGAGGAAACAACCCAGCACTTTCTTTCCTTTCCTGTTAACCTTGCATATTTCTAACAACTCTGTAAGCATGTGAGTAAGCCAGTTTCTATTCAGCTCAACCCTTAAGCACATTAGTTACTTTAAACCCTGAATCTCTGGACTGCCAGTGGTTCCCAGCTGTGCCTAGGGACTCTGCAGAGAAGGAGCTAATTCTGTTAATTCCTGCTGCATCTCTGGTTTCAAAGGAACAAGCCATGTGCTCTGGGAATTTTCTAAATGGTGACAGGCACCGAATCTGGGCCAAGGGGAGGAACTGCTTTAGCTGAATGATTTCCATAACCAATTGTTTTCATTAGCATCATGATAAAATGTACATAAGTAGATTTTGAGATTGAACTGAGAGAGTTTTGTGAAATGTACGAGGTTGGCTTAGGCGTTTTGTTTGCTTGTTTGTTTTTTAGTTAACCTGACCAGGAAAAGAACCAAACTCTAAGGCCTGCTGGAAACCAGTAGCATAGTTACCTTTTCTGTAGCATCAAATAATTTCTGCAAGCAGGTGAAATAGCCAGATTGCATTAAGGAGCATACCACAATACTTGCAAAGGCCTGAGATGCTTTCAAAACACTTTCCTCTTTCTATACCATGATGCCATGACACCATCAGCAAAATTTAATAGATCAGAGTGAAATGAAAATGTGTCTTGAGAGTGATTTAGGATTAATAGAAAAAAAAAAAAAGAAAATTCTGAATGTCTTTTCAGCTGAACAGCAGACAAAGTTAACAGTCATCATATGAGGTACAACTTAAATATAGATATACAGGCTGCCACAGGACTGAGGATGCATTACCTAGATTTTTTACTGCTAAGTGACCTGACTGTTCAAGGGCTGGCAAATAATTTTACCTGGTATTTTTATTATTCCTCATAGACATGTGATTACATAAATAAAAAATAAATGCTTCTCTTGAAAATATGTAGCTGTTCTGGCTCCCTCAAGCTAACTTATTTGCTATTTCTTGACGAGAAGTTGAAGTACGTGCTTAGAATACATTTATGAGGGGGTGAGCCTCAACCCATCCCTCGTCCCCCAGCTATTACTGCAATATAGTGACTGTGGTTCTAAAAAATATGTTAGTTTAAAATGCTGCTGGGTGACAAATGTTGTGAATCTTCTGCGTACATCCATGGGAGCTCTTGTCTGAACGTGAAGTACAAGTTTTATCCACATGCAGAGTTTTAATTCTATGTAGAAGTAGAGACTGTGTATTCCATTGGATATTCTGTTCGTATGTGACTTATGTATACCAAGTGGATTTTGTTTATTTTTCTGTTGGAGATTTTTTTTTCCTTTTACAATTACAATAAATATTCAAGAGACTATATTCATGAATTTATCAGTTGTTGTGACCTGGTCTTACCCTGCTCCTTTACCCTTGCTCCTGTGTATTTGTACCCAAAGAATCCTGTTTTGTGCCTGTGCTGGCTGCTGGGTTTTCTGAGGCCCCAGGAAGTGTGCATGCATTTGTTTTAAACCAGTACTTGCGGTTAAAAAATAAGCCTTTAAAATAGCTTCAGACTCATTTGGCGATGCCACACAGGATGCCTGTCTTTAGTCAGTCTCTTGAGGCTTTAAGGCTTAAACAAGGTTTGGGGAAGGTAGCTTTAGACAGCCAGTTTTTAAAATCCTGCCCTGCTTCTCTGTTTTGAAGATGTGCTCTAGGAGGAAAGCTGTCCACAGCATGTCTGCTCTGTTACTGCTAGCTTTAATAAGCAGCAGGAGAGGCAGCCTCTGACCCCAGTGCTACACGAGGCGCTGCACGGCGTGCTCACCAGTCTGCACTGCAACACCTCTGCCCCCAGAGAGAGCTCCGCATGCCCTGGACCGGGATTGCCCTGGGAAGAGGGAGGGAGCGATTAGGTCAGCAGCAGCTGGTGGGTGTCTGAAGTGGAATTTTCCTTCAGGCTCTCTGTTCTATTGACACTGGGGAGCAACATCAAAACATGTGCAGAAAATAAAGCCCATTTCAAATTACAGTTTGTTTTACCTGCTTGGTAATTAACAAGAGACAGAGGAGCTCTCTGGCACCTTCTCTGGATGCAGATGCGTAACCATCCACATGCCACCTGGCAAGACAGAAAAACACACGTTACCTTATGGCTGAAGTGGCACACAGCCGAGGGGCTCGGTGTCCATGCAGGCACAAACATCTGCAGCAGCCCCTGTTCCCTCTCAGGGAACATGGACACACACAAGGTTGGAGATGCTTGTTCAGCTCTCTTCACCCCTGCAGCAACCTCGCTCACCTCCACTTTGCGGCAGGGGGGAGGCAGCCCTGGCCCTGCTCCAGCCTCAGCACAGCCCTCCCCAGAGCTGCAGATTCAACCTCGTGGCTGGGCAATGTGGCACCAAAGAGGAAGACAAATGCACCAGCAGCCCTCTACCCCCATGCACGTTTTCAAAGAAAAAGGAGTTGTTTAATAGAGTCTTCACCTCACTTCATCAGTTCCTCAGGTGGCCATGTCAAGTTTGTAGGATGGTACTAAGACTTGGGGCACATACAGGATTTCAGACATATCCTTCCTTTCTGGGTCTCCCCTGCTTCTGGCTGCTCTGCTCCCTGTTTTCAGGGGCCCCTCGCAAGTTGGGTGCCCAATTCCCTTTCTGAATGTGACCCCAACTTTTCCATGGATTACTTTCCCGAAATTCAACAGGTGAGAGCTTCCCAATTGTGTTAGCAGATCATGGTTTCCTTATTACAGAAAGCCAAATAGAAAGGCCCCTGGAAAGGCAGAAAGGCACTTATCGATCTGCTAAACACTCTCTGTTGTATTATCAATCTTTGCTAAAGGTAGGGATGGATGAGTAAAGAATTAACAACCAAAACTGTTGAACTGCACAAACTGTGCCAGCGTGTCGGAAAAGCAATGGTGAAAATTTGGGTACTCTCCCCACAGCAAAAAAAATGGGGAAGTAGGAAGTCTTGTGGAGGCAGGACTGTCTCACTTTGCTATGATTTGCAAACAATGCCCATCGGGCTAAAGAACTGATACACTTGCAAAACACTCAATAAGGGACCAAAACCCATCTCGCCAATGGTACGAAGAGCAGATAATCTTATGGAACTCACCTGACGGTTCTGGAAGGAGCACCTCATGGGGATGACCAGAGCCATCACATACTCCTTCCATAAGGGTATAAAAGACAGTCCAGCACTGACAAATTGAGCAGGGATCAGGAATGACACCTCAGCAGCTCCTCCAACTGGACCATGAGTATCTCTCTCCTCCTCTTGCCTGGATTGCTGGGCCGAGGTAACTCCTTCTGCATATTCAGACAGAAGAAATATGTGAACAATTGCCAACTCCTTGCAAGGCTGAGAGGCCCCTGTACAATGAGGGTGAAGAAATGCTATAGCATTTTATTGGGGCAAGCAGTGTGCTCCATTAGTGTGCACTGATTGCTAGTTGCTATTTCCTAATTGAACGCAGATTCCTATAGCAATTGCACCAGTTAATGATGGATATTGTTATCACAAAGATCTTGTGTTGGTGAATAAAATTAGCTAACTAAAGCCTAGCGGTTGTTGCTCTCCTAGATTATTTTCCTGTCTCCTTTAAACAGCTGTCACAACAGGGAGCCCTCTCCCACCAAGGTCCCATAATGCAGGAATCGCAAGGACAGAGTTGAAGGTGCCTGTGAGGTGCTTCCAAAACCAAATGGAACAGTCTCAGAAGTACATTTTGGAGACTCACCGGCAGCAGAACCTAACTCTGCACTGAACTCACTGACCCAACATCGCAAGCTCATTTCTGTCACCTTGCCAGACACCTCATGGCTAGACAAATGGGTGGTTTTCCTACCTCTGATTGCTTATATTCAAAAGAGAATCATAGAATCATTGAATCATAGAATCATAGAATGCCGAAGGTTGGAAGGGACCTCAGAGGTCATCGAGTCCAACCCCCCTGCTCACGCAGGGTCACCTAGAGCACGTGGCACAGGGCTGCATCCAAGCGGGTTTTAAAGATCTCCAAGGAAGGAGACTCCACAACCTCTCTGGGCAGCCTGTTCCAGTGCTTTGTCACCCTCACAGTGAAGAAATGCTTCCTTAAGTTCCTGTGGAACTTCCGATGCTTCAGTTTGAAGCCATTTCCTCTAGTCCTATCCCTGCCCACCACTGAAAAGAGGCCGCCCCCCTCCTCTTCACTGCCTCCCTTGAGGTATTTATACACGCTCATCAGGTCCCCCCTCAGCCTGCTCTTCTCCAGGCTGAACAGGCCCAGCTCTCTCAGCCTTTGCTCATATGGTAGATGTTCCAGGCCTCTGATCATCCTGGTAGCCCTGCGCTGGACTCTCTCCAGCAGCTCCACATCCCTCTTGTCCTGGGGAGCCCAGAACTGGACACAGTACTCCAGATGTGGCCTCACCAGGGCTGAGTAGAGGGGGACGATCACTTCCCTCGACCTGCTGGAGACGCTTTTCTTAATGCACCCCAGGATCCCGTTGGCCTTCTTCCCGTTGTGACCTTTTTCATGTTGGGATTCTGGGAAGTGATTGTTGTTTTTGAAAATGAAGTACATATCAAATAACCAAAAGCACTATTCACTGTGCCAGGAAAGGTATAGACAAACACTACAGGTGAATAATGAGCCACATACTGCATGTGTGCATGGCTACAAGAGTCGAGTTACAGCAGAAAAAAAGGCAGCTGGGCCTGGCTGTTTTTGATGACCACAGATACCTCATCAAGCTCAGCAAAACTGCATCCAAACATGAGCAATGCTATGATCTCAAGATCACTCAAACTATGATCTCAAGAAAGAGCAGCTGCTCCTCCTTGATTGCCTCTTTGCCTTGAGCCACCCTTGAATCTCCAGCTGCGAGGTTTCGGAATGGCGGGATTGCTTGCACTTCCCAGGCAGATGTTGTCCCATCACAGGAAGTGTGGGCTCACAGAGCTCTGCTAAAGCCTTCTCTCATAATGCTAAAAGTAAGGAGGTCTGTGGGAAAACCAGGGACAAGGAAACAGAAGGAAAAGCATAGATCTGTGACAGATGCATAAAATCCTGACATAGAAAAATCAATAAATTAGGACTGATCCAATCCTTCCATTTTAGGGGTCCCAGGCTTCTGGTAAGCCAAAGCCCTTACATGTACAGTTGGTAAAGCTTGCTGTGGGGCTTAAATGTAAGGCAAAGCATTACTGGGCACAGAGATCACCTCTGCTGGGAGGAAGGGGGCTCACAGGAAAAGTCACTTAACGATGACCCTTGCTACAGTGGCTAGAGTGGGGCCAGTCCCAAAATTAGCCCTGTTATTTCAGCATGACATTGAACTGCACTGTGCTGTCTGTGCTTGAAGGCTTCACCTAAAAATGCTTCTTCCCACTCTAAAAATTCTTCCCTCTCTTCTGCCTCTGTCCTTTTCTTTGGACTCAAAAATTAAACGTCCGAGACACCTTTTATCTCACTGACACCTCTGCTCTCACAGCAAGAGCCAGCTCTTGTTCTATGTGATAGCACATGCAGGTATTTCTGGATAAAAATCTCTGCACCCCTTCCTCCCAGACCCCCATCACTTGGGAAGGCAAAGCAGTTGCCTTCCTCCTGCATTATGACTGCATTAGATAGCCCTCTAATGTGTGTGTGCTGCAAATGCACCTTGCTGCAGCAGCAACCAAGGCACCGGCACATTGTGGTAGGCAACTCAACCCCTTTGTATAAAATAACCTAAAAGAAGTAAGTCCAGAGGAACCCTGATCAGAAGCAACTTTTCTGTTGCCACTGCAGACCGAAGGAGAGCTGCTTGCATTCTCAGTGCACACTGGGGGAGCCCCTTTCCAAAAGAGGCTGCTCTTTCCTTACTTGAGTATTTGCATTGATGATCACTGTCATCTTCATAGCGCCCACCCACCTACCCAGATTTCTTGCCCTCACCTCACCCCAGTAGAGGGGCAGGGTGGGAAGCAGCACCTATTGCCATGGGGAGCCTATGAGCCACAGGAAGGAGAGTGCTCTCCTGGAGAGTATGTGAGAAAGGGGAAAACATCAGCAATCCGTAGTCAGGGGATGATTGGGAAGGGGACTTGGCAGAGCAGCCTGGTGATGGAAACCAGGAAAGGCTGGGAGACGAGTGTCCAGCGTGAGGTCTTGCCACAGAGGTGCTGCGGAGGCCCATGCAGCCATGAGGGGGGCTCCTGCACAGAACTTCACTTTGAGATATTCACATGGA